ATGCATTTTAAACCAAAAGTATACCAACTTTTTATGTATACCGAAAACAAAAAAAAAAAAAACCTTAAAAGTCTGTAAAGAAAACAACGTGTATGAGAATATACATATGTACATAAATATATACCTTAAATAAACAAAGTTACTAACTAATCTACTTGTGTTATGGAAATGCTAAATGTATGGGCTCAGAGATCATTCATATTACATATTAGTTGCAGGTTAGAAAATGAGGAAAACTCACACATGCATTTATGAATACGCAGCATGAACGTGAACTAGGTGAAAAATTAGGTTGGTTCCAGTGTTGGCATTTTTGATAGTACCAGATTGACCGAGCTTTGCCCGGAGGTGATATACTTTTTAAAGTTTTCAAGGTTTGGATATGAAATACTGGTAATTTGGATAGCCTTAAAAAATATTTTTGAAAAAAAACATTTTATTTCGATATCTATCAAGTAAATTACTTACTCAAAAATTTAGTGGTGGCAACCCTATTCCGAAATATGCTGGAATGAATAGTACTATGTATACAAAAAAAAAAAATGCTGATTTAAATTAACAAAATAAGTTTTTTGATCGAAAATAGTTTCTGACCAAAGTCCTCAACAATACCTTTCATTTGATATCCATATTGCGATGTTTTAGATAAATTGTGTGGAATCGAAAATAAGTGGCAACCTTATACTACTATCCTAAGGGTTACCATTTTGTATATAGGGAAGAATTTTCTAAGATCCTCATCTTGGTGCACATGAATAGTAATATTCTACCTTTTTTCTAAATAAAAAATTAAATAAGTATGCAATTCAAAATAGGTGGCAACCCTATTAAAAATATTTTTGAATTACCTTCGATTTAGTGCCCATATTATGATGTTTTAATTAATTTGTAACTAATTTCGAATAGGTGGCATAACTTATAGAGTCTTCTCGGAGATAATGTATATATATATATATATATATATATATATATATAAGAATTTCTCGTTTAATGTAATAAGATAGTTGTACTTTTTTGATGCGATTTCGTTCACAATATACATACTTTTCTACTACGTAAAACTCTTTAGTACGATTTTGAGATGAATATTAAAAATATATACATATGTAGCTCTGAAAATTCGCAGCAGGAAATTTTTGTATTCTCTTTTTTTATTCTCTTTGCTTTCGCCTTTGAAAGTTTTGCAAAAATAATCAAAATGTCTTGAACAAACAACGCATAACATAGCACAAAGGGGTGCTGTGCTATCAGCTTCACATTCCTAGGCAAAATTTTGAAAGAATATTTTCGATAGTATCAGCCTCATTGCGTAAGTCGTAAATTAGTGAGCTGCAGTTGCTAGTTGACGAGTTGCCAGTTGCCATCTGTAATATGGTTACGGCAACTAGCAACGCAATTGAAGTTCGGTTGCTATCGATAATCGACCCATATTACCAATAAACATCAAAAAAAATAATTCACCAACCTTGGAGAAATTCATAGGTCTCAAGTTGATATCCAAAGTCATTCGTAAAAAGTGAGAGAGAAACGAATTTTCAATTATCAAGTGAAAAACGAAAGCTATATAAAGAGGAAAATTACCAACAAAAAGTAAATAATCTTCAAAGTATCCTCAAATAATCTTGAAAGAAAATAAAACGCGAAGTGAATCAAGTGGCAAAATTACTGTCGGACTGTAAACTGTGAAGTGAATTATTGTAATACGATATTGATTAACTACATAGTACAAAAGGAGTAATAAAATTAAAAATTAATATTTAAATTCATCTATATATGTCGTTTCAATCAACTATAAGGTATTTTACTATTTCAATGATATGTTTGAGACCAATTGAAGAATTACATTGGAGTTCAAGCTAAGAACTAGCATTTTCTCAACTTGAGAAACAGTCCTTTTTTCATGCAAAGAAAAATGCCCTTTTTGTTGAGAACGCTTTGATCCTCCACTTGAGGTACTGTTGAGAAACAATGTTGGAGATTTGAGAAATGCCTTAGTTCTCAACTTAATCTCATGTTGAACTCAAACCTAAATGTTTTTTTTTGGTCTTAAATATATAGTGCTTGTCATAACTATACGACACTCACATGTTGACAAGATTTGACTATTTATTTTATTATTTTTTAATTTTAATTATTTTTTGATACAAATTCAGTTTATTCTTCAACGAAAGCTGGTATAAATCCAAGTTTAAACCTTTGTACAACATTAAAAAACATCAACAAACTTTCGTAAAAATTTCGAGTATGCAGTTTTTGTACAATAAAGTGCAAGTTTAAAGTGCCTCGGACTTAACGTTGATTTGGCATATTTTTTTTTGTTGAGATGCCAGTCATTTCTTCCATACGAAGTATGTTCGACGATTTTTTTATGGGAAATATGAGTAACACCTTAAACCAAAAAAAAATTTTTTAAATCAACGGTAAGTCGCAGATAATTCAAACTTGCGCTTTGTGTAAAACTTTCGATAATATCTTCAGTTAGACTAAATGAAATACATAATTGAACCAAGTTCGGTAGAAGTAGCCAACTCATTTTTGAGAATTCCACGAGTTCGACAATGAAATTCTCCGATTTTGCCAGAAATTTCGTAAAATTCTTATTTACAAAAAAACAATGTTTATGCATTTTGATATATTGCTGGCCTTTCTGTTTATTTCATTTTCAAATGTAATTAATCTATATATTCATAAACCAAACCAAACTTTAATAAAGTTAGTTAACAAATAAAGAATAAATAATGTTTATATAATATTTACATACATACAGTGGTCGAAAAAATTATTGCAGGTGCACCAAATTTTGACAAGTTTTCACAATAATTATTGTTTTTTTGTTATTTAATATGAGTTACTTTTTTTTATCAAAATATAGTTCTTTCTTTAACAAAAACCGTATAAATCTAAGTTTAAAACTTTGTGCAAAATTAAAAAAAATGACAACCTCTCATAAAAATGTCGAGCTTTTTAATTCGATTTTCTAGACAAATTTTGAGTGTGTAGTTTTGTAGCCCACTCAATTCTAGTATAAAAAAAGTGCAAGTTCAAGCGCCCAAAAATTTTCGTTCTACATTTTTTTTTTGCCGAAGGTGTTGCAGTTTTATTCCATATACAAATAAATGGTGTTTATTCGTTATATAAAAGCAAATGGGACAAGGAAAGTTCTAAAAAATCAACGATAATTTTTAGCCATTTGCCGATTCTCCACGCAAACTGAGTTGGCTTCCCTGATTTGTACTATGTACATTAAGGTGGCCCAAAAACAGTAAAGTCGGAATTGTAATGCTCTCACCCCCTCGGATTGTTCTATATCGAAAAAAGTATACCCCTTATATCGAAAAAAGTATACCGCTTAAAGTTTTCCATGTATTTTTTATATGGGAAAAATAAATTGTTTCGTAGAAATGGTATAGAATTCTTGAAAGTCAATATTTTTCGATCGCAAAACTCTGGTTATCTTCAGGAGTCTTTCAATAATAATACCCAATTGTTTATTTAACCATTTTTTAATACTAACGATTTTTTATTGGTCGCCCCCCTTGCATTTTTCGGGTTTTTTGTGGGTTTTTGGTGGACCTATAAATTATAGTTGCAATGAAAAAATGGTTAAATAAACAATTGGGTATTATTATTGGGAATCTCCTGCAGATAAGCAGAGTTTTCTGGTAGAAAAATATTGATTTTTAACTATTCTATACCATTTCTACGAAAAATTGTTTTTTTCCCCATATAAAATACATGGAAAACTTTGGGCGCTTTGAGCGACCTCTAAATATTTTTTGATTTCAAGATTAAAAAATAAGGATATATTTTTGTATGATGTATTTTGGAACGAATTTCCGTCATCCCTTGTCAAATTTGGTTTGGAGACTGAACGAAAAATGACACTGAAGATGGCGCAACGCCGAAACCGGTTTCTCTCCAAATTTTTTTCGGAACCCAGTTGTTTTGTGACTGCGTCCAGACAACAGCACTCAGACTATATGCCCTCCATTGCACTGAGCTAGGGCTCAACGTTCTAATACAATTTTTTAAAGCAATTTTATTTGTATACCAAAATTGATAAATGTTGCATAATGGACAACGAGACA